ATATTATAACAATAAAAACATGATCTTGTTATAAAAGGTTTCTCTCATTGATTCTTTCATATTGGTAGACAATCTGAACAACCATGCCACTATTTCTCCCCTTCTAAATGCAACAGAACATCATAGAATGCTATCTGCTTGAAAGCTGCTTAAACTGAAACGTTATTTTCCTGCTTTTATTGCAGTTCTAGCTGTTTGCAGTTAATGTATAGCCTTAGCTTTTGGTCTGTGGGACTTGCGTTCTTATAGGATTTATAAATAATAAAAAAATGTGTCTTCCATTTGACAGGTATTACCTATTTGCTCTGATCCTCAATGTCACTCGAAATGTGTATGAGGTCTGCCTTCTCCTGGACGGCGAGGATCGCTGCAGAAGCACCAAATTGTCCTCCAGTCCCAGCGATGTCCTTCCTGATGACCGCCTCTCATCGTCATCGGCCGTTCCAGCCACTTCTCCTCCTGCTCTGATGTTTGCACGGCTTCGCAGACTTATGGGTCAAGTGGGAGCTGTCCTGTACAACAACCCGCCTCTCCTGTTGGACCTGCTGAAGAACAGCTGTGATATTTTCATTCCGCTGGACAAGCTGGGGCTTTATCGGACAGGCCCGGCCTTTGTGGGGACTTGTGGGTTGCTTTCATCGGTCCTCTCCATCGTCACCATGCTCCACCCATGGCTGAAACTGAAACCATAAAGCCTGATTAACAGAAAACGGGTTCTGCTGTTACAGTTGCATACTATGGTATGATAGCCCACCTTAGGTTGGATAGAACCAAATATAAATCCCATCACTGCATCCATCAGAGGGTAATTACCTAAAAAATGGCGCTAAAACTGTGAGCACATTCTTATACAGATTCATATGGTTATTTTTTTTTATTCTACATTTTCTTTAACTCTAGACCAAAAATCTAAAAGATATTTAAAATTTCTTCCCAAACCGTACCGCCCTGTCCATGAGAGAGAGGATTGCAATCGGGAGTTTTGGTTATTGATCCCTACGGAAAGAAAGTAACTTGTTCTTAATAAAGATCCGTTTGTTTGGTAAAAGGTGTATTTTAAGAAGAAACATGGACTGCAAAGGAAAATCTATACATTGAATATATTTCATTTTTGGTTAACACTGTTTAGTGCACAAGTTGATTTTAAAATGAGGCATTAAATAAAGGGATTTGAAAGTAATGTTAACTTTAATGTGTTGTAACGGCCTCTTATGCTGATATTACAGGAACTAGGGGCCGGGATGTGGCCATTTTGGATTTCTGTTTAGTTTTATTTTGTAGACAGAATGTTTTTAATTTAGTTTGAAACCAAGTTTGTGTGAGGACAGGAGGCAGTAAAAGATTTTTTAACTTAACTTTAACCAACATTTTCCTGAAGGCCGTGAGTGGCACCAGGTGGCGTTTGATATACGCACGTCTGACTTAGAAAGATATGTCCTTTATTTCCAGCAAAAAAAACACATTTTTTATGAAAGCTGTAACAGCAGATTAATTAACTTTAATTTTTATTTAAGCTGCAAGATGTT